GCCATTGTATTTCCTATTACCATGTATGGATGTGAGAGCTGGACAGATGAGAAAATGGATAGGAAGAAAATCATTTCACTTGAAATGTGGTGCTGGAGAAGAGTACTGAGGATCCTATGGACAGCCAAAAGGACAAACAAGTGAGTCCTAGAGCAGATCAAGACAGAAACCTCCCTGGAAGCTAAGATGACCAAACTGAGGCTGCCGTACTTCAGACACATCATGAGAAGGAAGGACTCACTGGAGAAGACAATAATGCTGGGAAAGATGAAGAGAAGTAGAACGAGAGGAAGGTCACAGGCCAGATGGATGGACTCTATTAAGGAGGTCATGGGGATTGGGTTTGCAGGAATTAAGCAGAGCAGTGGAGGACAGAGGGTCTTGCAGATGTCTCATCCATAGGGTCGCCATGAATCGAGATTGACTCGAGGGCAACTAACAACAACAAACAACAAATTGCAGTTCACCAACCACAGGAGGGCATCATATGTTCCACAGTAGCTTGGAACATGGTACTATTGTGCCATTTTAAACACAAGTTGTTTGGTGACACTGCTTCAAAACTTTATCATTCTTCAGCTCATCACAGGGATAGATAAAGTATACCTCTCCAGAAGCTGTTGCATTGGAAGTCATATCAGCCCCAGCCAGCATCTCCAATGGTGAGGAATGCTGGGAGTGGCAGTCCAACAATACCTATCCTAAAGGAACATATTTTGGTCCAAGGAGATTATCGCATGCCTTAAATAATACTCCTTACCTCTCCCGAATTCAACTCTAATTTGTGCTGCAGCTGTGTTTTATCACAAGGCTTTTGCAGTGGAATCAGACTTCAGAGTAGATCCCCATTCCTTCTGACTTGGAAAAATGGCTTCCAGAGCACATTTTTGAATGTGCATTGGAGCAGGGATCTACTCTGAAGTCGGATTCTGCTGCAAAAGCCATGCGATAAAACATGGCTGCAGTGCGAATTAGAGTTAAATTCGGGAGAGGAAAGGAATATTATTTAAGGCATGCGATAATCTCCCAAATCTGCTTTAAGAAAGGTTTCAAATGCTACATAAGCAGTCATGTTTAATAAACTAATTAATTTTATAAGGGCCCCCAAGGCTGCTTACAATAACATTTCTTTTTAAGAACAACAAAAACAAGCACTTAAAAGAACTGAAACATTAAGTATGATTAGGATGAGGGATTTACAACTCATGAGAACAAAGAAAGTAAAGGTTCAATCTTATAATTAAAAGCAAGGTGAACTATTTTAAAAATACACACAGTACAAACAGTCAATGTGTGGAAGAAAAAACAGCTACCTTTTGTTGTGTGAGACAAACTATACTGGTGAAATTCTCTGTTCTTTTGTTGTTGTTATTTGCAGCCAAGTCAGCTTCAGTTTATGGCAACTCTTTGAATGAAACAGATTGAAAACTGGGAATGTGTCCTATAGCACCACTTAGCCACAGAAACCACTGAGGATCTTTGGCAAATCACATTCTCAGTCTCAGAGGAACGTAGTGGCAAAACACCACTGATCAAATCTTGCCAAGAAAAGCCTAGGACAGGGGTAGGCAACCTTTCCCCTTTAAGGGCCGAGGGACTTCAGTTCCCAGAAGCCTCAGCCATGTTGGCCAATAGTCCTATGTTGGCCAATAGCTCCTGGGATTCTGGGAGCTGAAGTCCCTCGGCCCTTAAAGGGGAAAGGTTGCCTATCCCTGGCCTAGGAGTTGGTTGCCATAACTCAGAGTCAAGTTAATGTCACACAACAACAACAAATATGTAGAAGAAGGAATTACAACAGGTGTTACTTGTTACCTGGTTGTGTGACAAGCAACACTTGCTGAAATTCCATCTTCTACACAGCCATTAAAGATACAGGAACCATCTCCCATCTTCAACCTGACAAGTTTAAGCTTTATTTGCTCCAGGAACCATTCTGCAAAAAGCTATTAACAGGGCAAAACCCTTGTCCATTTTGTGTGGGACCACATCCAGATGGCCAGAAAGAGGATTGGCTGGCCTACATAGATATCTTTCCATGCTATCTTAAATCAGACATTACCACCATTTGTTATTGATACTTGCCTTCAAGTTGACCTCAGGTCATGGTGACCCTGTGAATGAGACACCTCCCAGATCCCCTATTCTCAACAGCTCTGCTCAGGTCCTGCAAACTCAAGACCATGTCCTCCTTGATTAGGTCTACCCATCTGTTATGCGGTTTTCCTCTCTTCCTACTGCCTTCCACCTTTTGAAACAGGATCATCATGTTATGCCTTTTCATGTTGTGCTCAAAATACAATAGCCTCAATTTAGTTATGTTGGCTTCTAGGGAGTGTTCAGGCTTAATTTGTTCTAGGAACCATTTGTTTGTCTTTTTAGCTATGCACTGTATCCACAGAGCTTTTCTCCAGCACCACATCTCAAATGTGTTGATTTTCTGCCTATCAGCTTTCTTCACCATCTAACTCTCACACCCATTTGGGAAATATGATTTGTATGGACAGTTTTGGGAAATATGATTGTATGGACAATCACAACGTCAGTGTTCAGTTGTATATCCTTGTACTTCAGGATCTTGTCTAGTTTCTTCATAGCTGCTCTTCCTAGTCCTAGTCCTCTTCTGATTTCTCAACTGCAACCCCCTTTCTGATCAATTATTGATAGAAGATATGGAAAATCTTAATTTCAATTTTCTCATTGTCTATGTTGAACTTATGTAAATCCTCCATGTTCATTATTTTTGTTTTCTTAAATGTTCAACAGCAAGTTGAATTACTTTCCTTGGTAATTGCTCCATGTCTTTGTTATTTTCTGCTAGTAGTTGAGCGTCAACTGCCACCAGAGGGCCCTTTGAATCAGAAATCAGACATTTTTCTGAACCTTTACTAGTCCTATACATCAGGAAGGGTATTTCATCAGCACTATCAGCAGTTGCTACAATTCTCTTTTCTCTTGTTATGCCCCGCTCCCAGATGTTGTTAGACTGGAATCCCCAACATTCACCATCACTTGTCTATGCTGGCTAGAGCTGCTGGGGCATGTAGAACAACAATATCTGAAAGGCTGCATTGTTTCTGTGTTTGTTGTGTGCCTTTAAGACATTTTTGAATTATGGTGACCCTAAGGTAAAGCTATCACAGGGTTTTCTGGCCAAGAGTTGTTCAGAGGTTTGCCATTGCTGAGAGCATGGGACTTGCCCAAGGTCACAAAGGGCCTTTGCAGACTGCTAGAAATAGTGCAAATTGAGTCCACTTTAAGGGTTAGGGTTAGGGAATCATGGGAACTGTATTTTATTGTGGCACCAGAGCTCTCTGACAGAGAAGGCTCAATGTCTCAGAAAAAAAAACAATTCCCATGATTCCCATGATTCCCTAGCACTAACCCTAACCCTTAAAGTGGAATCAGTTTGCACTATTTCTGGCAGTCTGCAAAGGCCCTTATAGTAGGTTTCACTGCCAAGCTGGGAATTAAACCCTGGTCTCCAACATTATAGTCCAACACTCAAAATCACTATGCCATACTGGCTCTCCTACCCCTGTGTTAAAAGGACAGAACCCTGCTTGCCTTTCAGCAGTGCCAGTGCTAGTGAATGACACTTTAGAAATGCTGACTTAAATGGACCATCAGTTTCAGCATTATGTTGTTTCCCCAGAAAACCAAGAGACCCATCACAGTGGGCATTTATAGCAGAGTGATTCCACTATAACTGCCTCAGCTGCATTCTATGTGATCCTGGCATTTGTATTTTAGGGCGGTATTCAGAAATTTCTGTCAGTGAGCTCTAGTACAAAACTTTGGTCCTCCAGATATTTTGAATTTCAGCTCCCAGAAGTCCTGGCTGTTGGCCAATGTGACTGGGGCTTCTGGAAGTTGAAGTCCAACATGCCTGGAGGACCAAAGTTTGGGAACCATTGCTGTAGTGCCTTTCCAAACTATAAATCCCAGGATTCTGGAGGATGCAGCCATTGCAGTTAAAGTGGTAGCAAACTGTTACATGTTTGTTCAGGGTGAAAGGAACTTTGGTGGTTTTGTTTTATTAGTTTCTGCAGCCTTTGTCATCAAAGCCTGGAAAAAATTTCGATGACAACTCTCAGCAACTGGTGTTCTGCTGGGGATTTCTGGGATTTCTAGCCCAATCAAGTAACTTTCCTGAACTATGATTTCAAACTTGTCTTTCACAACTTTCCTTTGGCACGAATGAA